GACCTATACAATTTTTTTCTTTTTGATTTTTTACCTGGATTACTGAGATGCATCAGGACATTTGTCCTCAATGCTTCAAATATTTATAATTTAATCGGAACATTTTGAAGTAGGATTATTTAACACAKCTGTTGACCAGACTGGCTTACTAAAAGATTGACTCAGGTGGATTCTTGTCATCTTACTGAACGTAAAAATGCTTTTGCAGTAACGCTATTTTATAAACCTGTTCATCTGTTGCAAAGCAACTGATGAAATCTCTCAGTATTATTATAACACATGAACTAATGTAAAACTGCTCTCTAGCGTCTCTATATCTTGTGATTGTTTGCATGAATCTTATGACTTCAGCTGACATTTCTTTATCGTCTCTGTGTTTGTTTTCCTGTCCAGGAGAGGAGAACCTGCGGCTGATCTTCACAGATAAGATGCTGGAAGGAGACACCTCACTGCTGTCTGAATATGGAATCCAGCAAATGTCGGTCATCCAGCTGGTGATCAAGGTTCCTGGAGGACTGACAGCATGACCGAGACCACCTGAACCTCCTCCTGACCCCCACTGCTGCCTCAGCCGCCACCTCCAGTTACTGTTTACAAATGTTCAAGTTTTGTTGTTTTGATTGTTATTGCACCTGTATTCTGAACAAAATGTTCTGTTATTGCACTAAATAAAACTGTTCATGTCAAATCTTTTGTTTACAGACTTCTTTACACAAGAAAAAAAAGTAAATAGATTTCTTTTTAGATAGGTTTCTGCAGAATGATTATATATGAACAATTAATATCTTACCTGTTGAGATAATCTGATTGATWCCTATTTTAAAAAATAGTTAAATTCTGATGAGCCAAAGTTGGTGTGTCCAATCCAGGTCTCTCCTGCATGTTTTACTTGTTTGCTCCAACACACCGTTTATGTTTTAACTGTCCTGATTAGAAATGTGTAAAAATATTTCCAAAGACTGTGGAAGAAAACAGGAAGTATGTTAAGGAGATGAAGAAAAGAAGACAATCTTATAAAATGGCCGCTCAGACCGATCTGATTTGCGCTTCCTATTTCTATTCACAGCCCTCCTCCCCACCTCTGTCCATTCAAGAAACACACAGAGGGGGTCTGAACACGTCTCAGGCCCAGACTGAGGTGTGAAAGAACCTAAAGATGAAGGCCAAAGAGGAGATGAGAACATGGAGGTCGTTAGAGAGTGACGTGGAGGGGGATGACTTGTTGCAGTGACCCCTGAATACAGAACAGTCAAAAGAAGAAGGGGAAAAAAGGCTGTAAAGGTTTATAAAATAGCGTTACTGCAAAAGCATTTTTACGTTCAGTAAGATGACAAGAATCCACCTGAGTCAATCTTTTAGTAAGCCAGTCTGGTCAAATTTTCAAAGAGTTATCTACAACAGGTAAGATATTATTTGTCCACAACCTTTCCTGAGGTCATTTTTATATTTGTAGACTTGATTTCAGCAGCAGTTCATCACAAATCCTATTACAAGTGACATTTCCGACGCACCTTGAATGCAGCATTGTGTGTTTGTGTTGAGAAGTGAAAGAGAAAGTATTGGAGGAGTAAGAACATGACAGATTAAAAAAAGACTGTGTTGGTGAGATTCAGTAAGGAGTTGAAGTGTTGGTTTCAGGAGGATGTGTGTATGACAGTAGGTGTGTTTTTTTTAATTAATTTTGCTTGTGTTTGTGTTCTAAAATCAGAACTGCAGTTAACTATCAGCTGTGTCTTTGTGGCAGCCTGAGGTGTGAATGAACCGATCATCAGAAGAAACATGGAGCTGAGAGGTTTGTTCTCCTGCAATCTGATGAGTTCCTGCGGCTGAAAATATGTGATGATGTGGATCAGGAAAAACAAGCTCTTTAGATAACATTGATCAAATTCTGACAGTTTACGCTGCACTTTATCAATTGTGACAAATAGAAAGAACATTTACAATCA